TGGGCAACTCAGCCAAATAACTTGCCAAATATTACGATTAAATTTTCACCCTCAGATGATTATACTGTTGCAAATGAAAATTTGGCGACTCGATTTGCAAAAACAAAATCCATCGTAGGAACTCAAAAAGTTCATTGTGTTATACCTGACAATAATGGTTGTCTCTTAGTTAAAGATTATTCAAGCTCTAAAGAATCTAAACTCTGTAAAATATTAAAACGTTCAAGAAAATAAATTTCTCTATGAGTTTAAAAATTGTTGCATTTGAGACATTATAATCATATATTAATTAATGTTTATTTCAATGCCTACCATTTATTAAGCAATAAATAAAAAAACAATTATTTTTCAAAAAAATAACGATGAAGATAGGTTCGAATAATTTTTTTATATTTTTTTCCAAAAAGAACATTTGATAACAAAAATTTTGAAGAAAAAAAACGTCCCGATAAGTCAATTTTTGAAAAAGTTATGGCAATTTAAAAATAAAAAAGCGGTTTTTTTGAAAAATTCATAACTTTTTTTTGGTTGGGTAAAAAAATTTGAAAAAATTATGAGACGTTTTTGATAGGGTAGAAAAAGATGGTAAACTTTCAGCCAAATCAAAAAGGGTCAGGGTCAAAAGTGGTCGATTTGGCGTGGAATGCCCCATATAGTCCCATATATAATTATATGTGCTTATATATAATTAACATACATCAAAATTTTTTCTTTAAAAAAAAATTTTTTTTTGGTAATCACAAAAAGTGTAAAATGATGTTTATAATTACGTTTAAATAATTGTGAAATACAAAATTTGTCTCATTTCCTATGAGATGTTTTGTCTGCTCTGCTACTACCTAATAGTAAAATCATTATTTATTTTATTATTTAAATAAGTGTTATATTATAATGAAATTCGGTAAGATAAATAAATCATGAATTATGACTATCCAAATATATTATAGAGTCAATTTTTATATTAAATATTTATGATAAACTCATATGATACATTAAGTAGATCATAGAATTATTATTGTCTAAAACAGCAGCACAGCAGACAGAAACTTCAAGACGCACGGAGATCACCAAAGTTAAACAGCATTGAGCAGGGTTAATAGTTGGATGGGTGACCACTGGTGTTATAGCCATAAAATTAGATCTAGATATTTTTTTTGCATTTTGATCGGTTACACAGAATTGCGTAGGACCATATTAAATACTCTATCCATAAAATTAACCCAATAATTAATTAGATGTAACAAATATATAATTAAATATTGTTATATATAATTATATATAGTTATATATAATTATATATAATTAGATATGATTATATTTGGCCATTTTTCATATATAATCATATATAACCAATTTATATATAAATATATATAATTATATATAAATATTTTTTCTCGGGTCTGCTTACGGTATAGTACTCGGTAGGCTGGCGTTTGAACGGTACTTGGCACCACACTTCTACCGAGTCTGTAGATTTTTTGTTACAATTGCACCACCTCTCCCCTATAGATTTTTATAAATCTACATATAGATATCATTATTATATATACACTGATAAAAGGATTTGTTTACATTTAATAAGCTTTATTAACTGTTAACAAATATTTATTTAACATAAAAAGCAAAAATAGCTATTTTCTTTCGACACTTTTTATAACCCTATGGCGGAAATACATGATAATAATTCAATTCACTAAATAACTAACGTTTTTAATAATTAAAAATATGAAAGATAATTATGAGCTGTGATAGAATTTGGTATTTTACAATAAACGTTATTATAATGTAATATAATTATCGAAAGAAAAAAAATGATATTATGTCAACTATGATTTACAATCGTAAAAGAGAATTTTCTTTTCAAACAAACCATTTATATGGCTTTAGCCATCTCCTAATTTTTCATTTTTATGGAAATATGTCAAATCCATTTCTTGATTAAATAACACGTCTTTAATCAGCTAAATACTGACGTAGCATGGCTACCATATTTTGCCTATTCGCTCCGTGGCCAACTTATACACTTACCTTTTCTATGCATATGTTTAGTGTCCGTGAGTATCCGTGTTTCGTCATACAGTTCCGTCTTTTTAGGCAGAGATCGCGTCTTATGGAAAATTGCATGTAAATTATTCGTCACACAGTTCGGACAATCTATCACCTCTGGCGCTACCATCGATGGCCGAGGATCGAATAGGATACCGGTGCATCTCAATATTAAGGGGGAACACCACTGTGACGGTCGAAAAAAAAGGTGATTTTCGGGAATTTTTTTGACCGGGATAATAAAGGAATTTGGGGATCGGATTTTTTTTATTTTATTAAGGGTACATTAAAGATTATTACCCTAAATTTTTATTAAAAAATATTTAATTATTACAAAGTTATTAACAATCTTGTAGAGCACTAAAAAAATTTCCCCCTCCATGGTCGGTTCGATAACTCAAAAACGAATCATCTGAAATTAAAAAATCTAATGGCTTTTGAATCAGTAAGAATGTAGTTATCGTCGCACGTACGGAATTTTGAAAATTTTAATTTAAAAAAAAATGGCGACTGATTGAAAATTTTCTCATTATTTTCACTTTTTTTTTTGTTTTAACCCGGCTAAAAAAATCTTTAAAATCAAAATTTTCAAAATTCCGTACGTGCGACTATAGCTATTTAAAAGACGAACAGGAGGAAAAAAAAAAAGTTGAGAATCGGTTCATATTTGTACAAATTACAGAACCGACCAGTTTGAAAAAAGTCGTTTCGAGAAAAACGCGTTTAAAGGTTTTCAACCATTCTCGCTACTCTAAAATCATATGTCGCATAAAATACTTAAACTTACATTAAACTATCGAGTCCTGGACCATATGACGGTTCTTCCTCTTCATCTCCAGTGGTGACCTTGACTTTTTTTATCTTTTTATTGATTTTTTCCATGCGAATTTGAGATGATTTCACCCGCTTAGCATCGCGCTCGGCGCAGTAAGAATAAAGTGTCGGTCCTACTGCGATCCCAAGTAAGTTGAATATTTTTAAAACAGCAAGTGCACCTTCGTTAAATGTTATTGTTGAAATATATAAAGCAATTTCAACAATAACAGAACAACAAGAATTATTTTTCGGAGCGATTTGCCAAACTAAAGAATTGAAACTTTCGTTGTTGTTTTGAGTAAATCCACCTACAAATCGTTCTAATAAATCAGGATTTGATAAATCTTCATAGATCGGGATCAATGCTTCAGCAACATCTTCAGGAAGTGGTGGTTTCTCAACGAATGAGGATAGGCTATTTGATGCTACAGCTCGCTGAAATTGGCACCACGAATCAGCACCTTCGGGGCAAAGAAAATGTCGCCGATGTAATTAGTATATTGAACACCATGCAATGTTTTCGATCTTAAAAACATTTCCTTGATTCCGTCACTCTCCATTTGACCAGAAGAAGTTTCGTGATTCCTTGAGCAATCCAAAGAATGATCTTGCATGAAAAAACCATACTCCATAGTTCCTTTTTTTGGCTCCATTTGTGCACACAATTTACAAAAGTTGGATTTTACGATCACGTCTACAATTTTACCTGCGAAGTAACCAATCAACGACGAAATACCAAATGAAGATTTAAAACCTCTTTTTTTCCAACTTCCATCTCCAGACACAGAAATTCCGGAACTACTTCCAGAGTCCGATCGATTTGAAGTTTCCTGTACTTCTTCTTTAACAGCTTTTTTCATAACAAGATCGCAACAAATTCTTGCTGTATTCCTAATCTGTTGTACTACACGGTCATAAAAGCTCTGAAACATTGGTCGAGGTAAGTCCATGAAGGCACAAAATCTCTCAGCACCACATAATTCAATACCAATTATTCTCATAGCGAATATAAAACGACGATTTATTTCATATGCATTATTAATAAGAGGACATGAATTTATCAGAACTTGATTACATTTATCACAATTCACCGCAAGTTTGAAGCCTAGTCCACGGATACTACGCTCAGAAAAATTTATATTTCCACCACACTTTTTACACGAAACATAATTACTAAGTAAAGTAAAAACAGAAACAAAGTTTATAATTTTATAACCAATAATTGAATTAACATCACATTCAGTGTCATAGGACAATTTTCTTTTGGAAGCGCTATCACGATGGTTGGGATCTGCATTGTTACCTTTCTCAATTTCGAATCTATTGCACGGACGATTAAATTTTTTACGATCTTTTGAAGACTTTTTTTTTAAGTTTTTATTGAGCCTATTGCTTTTACGATCCATTTTTTAACTAATCTTCAGATATTTAAAATATGACTGAGTAACAACGTAGCGAAGTGTTTTCTGAGAATCACGAAGACTGTGTTTTAACCCTTTCTATACTTACTAAATTTCCGAGTATGTGCGCCGATAAAGAGAGATATATTTTAACTTATGAAAACAAAATTCATATAACAAAAGATATTCGTCGCAGAAAAAAAAATTTAACGGTCGCCTGACGTTAAATTTATACCAACAAAAGAGAGCGAGGCGCGCGAGACTCTCGCCAGCGCACCGAGCGAAAAGGCTCCGTCTACATGCTCTCACTAAAGTGGTCATAACTTTGAAAATTATCGGAATTTTAATTTGAAATTTTCTACACATATTTTTGAATGTATGAACTTCGATTTAGGGCAAAAAAAAAATTTTTTTTTTTTTGAAATCTCACAGTGGTGTTCCCCCTTAATGTCTATCGTTATAGGTGGCTGGTAATTAGAAAGCTAGTAGGCCTATCATATTAAACACGAAATCTTTGATACCCTTTTTCACTATCTATTTAAAAAATTATTGACTACCATACAACATGCATCCATTCAAAAAAGTTGGAAAGCAGCTAATCGTAGGATCTTACCCGCCAAGCTGTAACATATACATAGCTGCTAACTTGCTTCCTCGAATACCCTGATTTAGAAACATGATTTGAAATGATTACCTTCATGTTAATTGTATATCTATATAGTATTCGAATCCGATGCATTTAAATCATTTCAAATAAGATTTCTTAATCAGGGTAACGTCCGAATAACATATATATATTTATTTCATGTAGTAAATGCTATAGCTTAAAATATAAGTTACAACTATACTATTACAGGTATAATTTTATTTTACTCAAGGTGTTGGAACATATCAAACATTCGTGACTTCCCCATCGGATAAGAAATACCCGAAATTTACTTATTAATGTACGAATAATAATTTACAATTTACAATTATATGTGTGGAACACCATTTTTGATTGTGATTATTTAAAATATTTTATAGAAAAGCTTTCAGTAAAGATCTTAGATAATCTAAAAACAAACAAATTTTGAAATTATTATGTCATTGGAATCTTAGTTTTTGTCACTTCTATTCTGAACACTAACGAATTATCAAACAAATAATTTGATAAGTCGTCGAGAGAAACAAATTCGGTATAGCCAAAGCTCCTTCTGTTTATTTCTCCAACCGGCTTTTTGAATGCTTCTACATTAGGTTTTGTATGAGTTTCTTCACGGATTGATTTTTTGGAATCCTTCTGATGAATTAGAATAAATGATATTGTCCCATTAAATGGCCAATCTAGGTAATTATCGTTTTCAGATTGCATCATGTGTATAACAATTGATAAAAATTGAGAATTTTTTGATGAAATATTAATTCGAGCACACATTTTATATCCATTAGGATGAGTAAAAAATTCTGGACTGTAAAACATCGTGGATGAATTTAATTTCATCTCGTTCAATTTTTTTTCAAATGAAATGATTTTCCAAATATACATTCCACTACAATTCCTCGAGTAAAATTCTTTTAAATTTATATTTTTTTGAAGAGATTCTATGTCAGCACACTGATTTGTGATAGTAATGTGCAATTCTTGATTCAATTGTTCCAATGTGACGATTCTCTCATAAAGATTTCTGAAAATAGAGAAATTGTTTAAAATTAAATTTTCTATCTATAAAAATTTTTAAAAGCGTATAAATGTAACTATTGTATTTGTCTCAAATTACACTTCTCGCAAAAGTTAAGAAAGCAAAAAAAAATTGTAAATTTGTTTAGAGATTTTCGATGGGCTGTAGGATAGAACCACTGGTTTTGGACGTCTTAGTACTAGTTTTGGACACTTTGAAATTCAATGATTGTAGAGAAAATTGTAGTGTTAAAATAATATTTTCATATAATTTTCAAACGTTTACATTCATACAAACAGAATTTATGATGCTATTACATTTGTAAATTATTAATACAATAATTTGAACATCAAATCTCCAAAAACGGTATAGTGTCCACAAACGGTATCTCTACCCTATTTCAGTGAAAAATATTCGTAGTAAAAATGAAAAAAAAGGATTCCAAAGCTTGAAAATTCATGTTCTGAGAGTTTATAATTAAAAATTTTTAAGAGCTGCATTGGTCGCGGAATCCTAAGACATATCTCGAAAAAAGAATTCCGAGAATATTTATCAATCTTTTCTTCAGTCCATGGGATTAGAAAATTTTTTTCTAAGTAAACCATCAAACAAAGACAAAAGAGAAGCTTAAAGACACATAATCTCCAGATATTTTACCAAAATGTTAGAGGTTTAAAAACAAAACTTAAAAAATTCTTAACCTCGATTTCTAGTGATAGTGATGTGATTTACTATATAAGCGAAAGTTGGTTAAACTCAACTATTTCGGATGGTGAAGTAGTAGAAAATACTTTTAATTTGTTTAGGAAAGATAGAGACAGTCAGACTAGTAAATGCGCACGCGGTGGTGGTGTATTGATAGCAGTACATCGCAATATCACGGCTGAACTGGTACCACTGAATAAACACAATATAGAGCAAGTTTTTATAAAAATTAAAGGCTCTAACGGTGCTCTGATTAAAAAAAAGTATTGAAAAGTATTGAAAAAGTATGTAATTCAATACTTTTTCAATACTTTTCACACACTGTATATCTATATATACATACAATATAGATATACAGTTGCATGGTTCAATACTTTTTTTAAATCAGGGTGAGGTTATTATTATTGGCTGTGTGTATTTACCACCCTAGTCAACGGTGGAGATCTTTAAGGACCACTTGGACACAATTCATTGCATAAATAACATTTATCCAAATGCGAAAATTATAATAATAGGTGACTACAATATCCCAAATAGCTACCCACCCGCTGTATGTGAAGAAGTGACTTTCAATGAGATGTTACTACTAGGCTGTAACCAAATGAACAACATCTTTAACAAAAAAGGTCGTCTCTTAGATCTCTGCTTTAGTAATTCTGAAGTTTTAATAGAGAGAACGGATCCTATCCTTGAAGAGGATGTTTATCATCCAGCTTTATCTATTCAATCTATTCATGTATCTTGCACAGCCAGTATGAAGTTGTTTAAAGAACCTCAATACTCCTTTAAAAAAGCCAACTATATTGCACTCAACGACTTTTTCTTAAACACTAACTGGTTAGAACTGTATAACATAAAAACAGTGGATGAAAAGCTATTAGGGTTTTACGAAAAAATAAAGTTAGGCATTTCAGAGCATGTTCCAGTGTACACTAATAATCGAAGTGAATATCCATGTTGGTTTTCTAAAGAGCTCATAAGGAAAATTAAATTAAAAAAACAAGTTCATAAGAATTACAAAAAGTATAGGAACTATCCGAACAAAAACAGTTTCACTGTAAAAAATTGCGCCAAGTCCACGTTCATAAAACTCATCTCAATAACATTTGTACTTTACAAAAAAAATTAGATTCGTTTCAATAATTTTTATTCTCTACAAAAAGATGTGAAATACAAAAAAATACCAAGAAACCGTCATAATGTTGAAAAAATTGAAAAACAATTTGTTGAAAATTAAAAAATTATAAAAAAAATTTTTTATCGTACTTGACGCGCGTCATTGAGTACCCCAAATTTTTTCAGGATAAATAAACATCCTTTTCATGTTGAGTAATTTATAAGTAAGTCAACCTTCACGTTGATACAAGTCGATACGCATGCATATGTTGGGTCGGTTGCATTGTTAGAATTGTGTTTACTAAAAAATAATATGGCCAACTAAATTGGGAAAATGCGGTGTGAATACCAATCAAAAAGTATAAATTACAATTAAACGAAGAAATACCAAACTCTGATATAGCATAGGGTCCTTCATTGAAAATTAATGACAAAGCTGAAAAAAAAATGAAACCAATAATTTTATATAATTTCAGATTTCTTGACCACACCACCATATTCTCAGTTGTTTCCACTAAAGA